ACTATATATAAATTTGTATTTAATAAATACTATAAAATGTAGTTGTTGTTAAGGAAGTTACATTGATATTGTTTTGCAGTTGAAAGAACATTAACAGTTTTGTTTAATTATAAGTAATTTCTTACTTCTCTTATAATAGCTAATATTTGTACGTGTTAACTTTTAAATATTATTTTATTTTTCATTGTTCATTTTTCTACTAAACTAGGAGCGCAATATAGTATACAAGTCCATTAGAAACAATCCCCTCAAGATAAGCATTAATGTTAACAATATTTAATTAAAAACATAAAAACAGTAGCAAATAACATGTGTTTGCGTTTCTTTATGTACAATTTAATGTTTATAGTATCTAATTTACTTCATTAAAACTCAGTTTTATTTTATATGCATTTTAAAAACGAATAAACTTTTAGATACTTTTCTTTAAAGTAATCGAAGGAATTAAGGACGTAAATACTTAATTTCTTCATAATTACGATGTAATAAAAATTATAAAATATACACAGGTTTATATTAATTAAAAGTATATATATGAAACTAAATTTAACTTACCTAAAGGTATTGCAAAACTTTTTATAATTTTTTAATATAAGCCCTAATATAGTACAGCAGTTTCCAGCATACGACTACGAGGTTTAGACACTTAAAGTTCAAACTATCAAAGCAGCCACTATTACTTTAAAAGAAAATTTCTTACGTAAATTTGTGGTCCTCTGAACCTGTAAATGTCATTAGTTTTTGCTAAGCGTTAAAATTCAAATTTTATTCAAATTTCCTGTTTGGTGACCTCGTGGGTTTCATCCCATTTATGTTTGTATGCACATCATTATTATTCTATACTAATCAATTAGTAGACTATGTTAAATTCAATTTCTTCATTGTATTTAAATGAGTTTTATAATAGTATTTATATCTGTTTTTGTACACATCTCACAGTTTGTTAACTAATCTAATGCTGAGCAATTGATCAGTTCAAAACACGGCTCAAAAGACGATCAATTTTCTTTCATATTTTTGTTTGGAGACAAAAGGGTATGTTGTGTTTTTGTTTCGTAGCGACCTGAGTAGGACCATTGCTATTTTATGCCCGTCTGATCTACCTACTCCATCTATTACAATAATAATATCAATAAGTACTCCAATTTAGAGATAAGAAATCACAGTTTAGGGTACTGTAGTTAGAACTAATATAAAAGTAATTGAAAGTATCAATTCGAAAACCATCCACTGGTATTTCAACAACGACTAATAGCTAAAATTATTAAAAAATATAATATAGAACACATGTATTGGTTATAGGCACACCTATAAATTGCATTCGCGTAACCACATTACCAAGAAACTTAAAACATTTTAAACCTATAAACCTAACAAACATATATTTGTCCATTTAGCTTAAATTTAAGTTCAACCCTCAAAAAAATAAGCTTCATCTGATTTTAGGTGTTGATTAAATATTAGTACTATAATTTCATTTTGTTGTTAAAAACCAATACTCAGTATTAATAGATTGGTGCACTCTATAAAAAGCATACTATTACTTTTTAGTAATAGTATGCTAGGGACACAAGCTAAATCTTGACCATCCGGTGATTGGTCTTATTTTCTCCATTAAGAAAGATCAAAATGGAAAATAAGATTTTTAAATTCAATTGATTTTACTAATATATGAAATTATCAAAATAAACTATTTTAGCAACAATTATTAAACTTGACTACCTGTTAAGTTGCCTATTTACTTAATCTAAATTATTTTAATATAAATGAATATAAATGTTACCCAAAAAACATTTCTGTATCAATTATCAAAGATCTATTATCTTTTAATTCATAAAATCACATCCCTAAGTCCTACACTGTAACAATATCTATGATTCTACCTTTTATTTACATCTTTTATCAAACATCTCAAAGTCTTTTATTAATAAATTTTATAAGTAATGGAAAAAAATTTTACGTGCACTCAGATCCCCAAATTCTACACAGTATCAATGTCTGTGGCTTCATATAATTGATAAAACCGTGTACAATGAAAAATAAAAATGGCTACGCGCTAACATCCCTGCCTCAGACATAGTATTAATGTGTTTACCTCCATCACACTTCTTCACAATTTCTTATCAACGATCTATTAGCCTTTGATTTATAAGATCTTGTACAGTATCAATGTCTGTGCCTCCATCAAGTTGTCAAAGCCTAATTCGCTTCAAAGATGACTTACCTTCATTATCACTCAAGTGTAACAGAAAAGTTTTGTTTTATTACAGCACTGGCACGTCATCTGTTAGACAAGCACAAAACAATGAAGCTTATTAAGTTATCAACATTTTACCACAAAATAATTTTAATAACAGCGCTGCTAGCGCTGTTAAATGCGTGCCGTCTCGTTGTCAAACACACAGCACATAAACACACATAAACATACACTACAATGACATAGCAAATAAAATTATTGTAGATATATCACAGTCAATACACTTAATTGTGTGATAAGTTTGTTTTTATTGTTGTTCTTAGTTAATTGTTGTTGCTAATTTATTTTACATTAGATTTAAATCACTTTAAATATTTAAGTAACTCAGCAAACATTTTTAAAGCATAAAACATAAATTAAGTTCTCGTGTTGTTTTTTATTATTAAATGTTTTTTTATCCAACTCGCTTCTTTTAATAGCAAGCAAACATGTACACAAAACTGTTGTGTAGCAGTTGAAAAGCTCAGTTTAAGTCAAAGTTGCAGCTGCAGTTAACGCCGCAGCTACTGTTTGCGTCGAAGTTGCAGCAAAATTACAAGCAGATTTTTGTTCTTTGACTGTGCGCACAAACATTTTTGGTTTTTTTTTTTTTTTTATTATTTGCCGTACTTGTGCGCAGTCGTCCTTCGCAAAAATGCTGTTTTTTACGTTTTTGTTGGTATTTTAGCTAATTTGGTGTGTCACTGAAAGTGGAAGTGGAAACCCTAAAGCCAAACCAAAGTAATATGTGCCTTGCTTGTGTTTTTTTGTTAGCTTTTTGTTGTCATGTTTGTTGTTGTTGTACAAAGTATTTTTAGCTTAAAAATCGTATTTGTTTTTTTTTTTTTGAGTTTTAACATTTTTGCCGGTAATTTTTGGTAGTTAAACGAATCTGTGAAGCGTCTCAAGTAGAACCACTTTTTTGGCAAAATTTATGAGTAATTAAAATTAAATTCTGCTTCATTTTTATGTTTGCATATTTTGTATTTAATATTTGCACAATTAATTTTTGTGTAATTACAAAACAACAAAAAGCAAAATATGAAAAAAGAAATAAATAATAATAATTTCGACAAATAATTAAGAGAAAAAATAATTATAAGAAATAATTGCGAGGGTAAAATTTTGAACTTCTACACGTAATGTCACACTTCAAGAATCTTGGACAATTAACGACAAGTCTGGCATCACTTGGATTCGAATTGGTCATCAATATTCACTGAATAACTTGGAAAGAATCATTTTCTAACTGTAAGCTCTTAGTATATTTCGATTAGGATACTTATTTTTCTGTCTTAGCATTACAATCCTTTGTTGATCAGATCTTCTATTAGTACCAAATAAAGATATTCCTTCTTTGTCAATGTGATGCGATGACAAGCCTATTTTGTTAAGGTATATGAATTTGTTATCGATCTATCTTTCTTTTATATTAGATTGGTTATTAATATTTTTCGACTAACTTCGATGTTGGTTATTTTGCCATTTTTCGGCATAATAGTAAACAACCTTTATTGATTAAATAACGTATAATAAGATAGTGTAACTAACTATATTTAAAAGCCTGTTTTAACTTTAACCTACATTGGACTTCGCTATTGAAATAGTCAGTCATACTGGATCACTGTATACCTAAAAAGCTAATATTATTTTCAGACTTTTCAACTTTATTTTAGCATTATAGTTTTTGATAATTTCCATTTGACTTAAGTTTGTCGATCTCATGCGATGCCAATCCCATTTTGTTAAGGTTGACTACATCATCATTGATCCACAATTCTTTTGGTTTAGATTGATCGTCAATATTAATTAATCAATTTAATCAATTTATACTTGTTGGCTTTATTTCAGTCTAGACTGGTGGCTATTAGGAGGAAGTTCCTAAATTAAAATTTATTAAAATTGTTGCTTCTACACCTACATTTCATAATTATTCAATATTGATTGAACAAAAAGCCTGGTTTATCTCAACATATATCTAGAAAACTAATTTTAGTTTCATAAGAATACATATTGATATAAAAACTTATAATAAATAGGTACATATTTACTAGAATAATATTACTGGTATCCAAAAGAAGCACTTCTGTTTAATCTGTATGTTGTTATACTGAAACTTTTATTCAAAATAGTTTTTTTTTCTTTTTCTTTTCTTTAAAAAACAATTTCATTATTAATATAATTCTCCTAATCCTGTTCTTTTTCTTAGACAATTCCTCTGATTTAATTATTCTGCAGACTTTTACATTTATTTATATATATTTAAACTCATTATTAATATAATTATTTTTAAATTCTTCTTAAAGAATTCTTCAGATTTTATCACGCCTAAGACATTTTTTATTTATTTATTTTTTATTTGATTTTAATTTTTATTTATATTTTCTTTTTTGATAAATATTTACTTCCTCAACACTAAACGATTTGCTTTGTTTTGTGGTTCCCACAATTAAAAGCACGCGAAGCACTTCTGTGCCGGTAATGAAACCAATAAACATTTCAAACGTGAACCCTGGAGCAGCACTTAATATTTTTATCTTATAAAAAAAACAATATTATTATAATAATTAGTATTTAATATAAAAAATAAAAGAAAAAATTAAAGATTATTTTTTTTGTATTTATTATTGGAAATAGTCTTTTGATTATTAAAAAATCAAATTGAAAATTACTTTAAATTTTATTTTTGCTTTAAATAAATTTAAAAATATTAAAAAGCAATGAACAATTTATTAATAATAAATCAATTTTATTATATTTACAGGCCCAATTTGTACTCTGCATCGTTCACACCACCCGCGCACTCATTAGCACACAATGCCAGTTCTCGAAATTCATCTCGGCCCTGCTCTTACTAAACTCTTCCATTTTCTTCTGCCTCTTCATGAATTTCTACATGCAAAGCTATAGAAAAGCGAAGGATCAGAAAGCGTTGGCCGCTGAAAAGTCAAAAATGATGGAACTCAATAACAATAATATTGATGCCGTATCTGCCAATAAGGTCAAAGTTAATTAAATACACCAAATGAAAACGTAAAAACAGGCCATATCCTCCTCCTCAGCACAAAAACAAATACAACAACAGCGTTTGTTGATTGTACAAAAGACTTCTTACCTGACTTGCATTAAACCGTATTCAATATATAAAATGTACATAATTAAGGATTTCAATATTTCAGTATGAAATACTAAATACATACTAAATATTAAATATTGAAATATATGAATTGGTCGTCAAAATATTATTAATAATATATGCTAAAAAATTTTTATTTTCTAAAATTGTTGGTGATTTGTTATATTTTTTATATGAAAAAAGAAATTATTTTCAATTATCCTTAACACAATCGAAACTAAGTGCAAATTAAACACCGAATTTTTTCTTTGCATTTAGTTTTTATATTTTAAAATTTTAATGGTTGTCGGTACATTCTTTAATTTTTATTTTATTATAATTTTTTTTATTATTATCGTTATCAAACTTATTATTATTATATGAGAATTTCATTTTATTCATACTTAACTGAAATCGCACTCACAAAACAAGCAATTTCATTAAAACCGAAACGCGTACCCTTTCTAGTTTAGTTTAATAAATTATAATGCATAATTTTAGGCTTAGTGTATAATTTTTTAGTTGAATTTGTATAGCAAAGATTTCTGATTCTCATTAGAGATCTGGCGTACATTTTCTAACTAAAAGTCGTTAAACTTTTTAAATGGGTCAATTTTTACGATCTGCCTAGTGTAAGTTACTTTAATTATAGAACCTCGAAGCGTTACAAATAATTTAAATATATTAAGATTAGTAATAATAAGGTTAATATTTTCAATGTAAATGTGTATACACATCAAGTGTATGTATTTGAAATAATATTAAAATTAAGTATAAAATAAAACTAGTCTTAAAATCGTCAAATAAAATAATAAAGATATTTTATGTTATATTTTTTTTTTGTATGTATTGTACTTTTACAAAAACAAAATCTGTAAACAAATTAATGAAGAGAATATTTTCTATGGTGTATACTTAATTTTAGCAGTAAGTTTGTAAAAAATGAATAAAATTTTATTAAAAAAAAAAATTTAGATTACTTTTATTCCTTAAATAATTTATTATATGACTTTTTAGAAATGCAAATTTGAAGGACACTTAACAAATAAAGTGCTAAAGCTATTCGAAAAAATAGAAGCCCATTCTAATGCTGCAGTAAATGCTGATTTTATAGTCATAACTTATTTTCAACACTGACTGCAGTCATACTTAAAGCAATAACTTTGCTGACTTAGTTATATACATAATCTGTTATGAAACTTAAGTTATGACTGTAAAATCAGTCCTAAATTAGATAAAGACACGTCCAAGTCCCACAATAATTATAAGACTTAATTTATATAAGTCAGTTTTAAGACTAAAGTTATGTCTGTAAAATAGTAATAGTGATTGTAAGATACACGAAGCTTTCTACATTATTAAATTAATTAAATGCTTGAACCTCATGAATATAAAGTTCCAAAAGTTAAACTCACAAAATAGAGTAGAGGTGATAATAGCCATTAATCTGAACAAACTATCCACAATTTAGTTGAAAATCTTGATTTCCAAATCTAATGGAATTGAAAAGTCTTTAAGCTTTTACATTAGTTAGTTAGTCGTTCATATAGCTGCAAAATTTCTTCTCTGTTAATGTAGCGCATAGGAACCGTACAATTTCCACACGCTCGATTTATATATTTTACGTCTTAAAACCAATCTTCTTAGCAGAATAGGGATATTACTTTTCGAAAATCAAAAATCAAAATTCAAGATGACCACCGACTTTTTAGTTTATATTATACTATAGTGTAATGTGTTAATCTCTTCACTTTGAGCCAATTATATAAGAAGTGGTCAATTCATTCGTTTCCCTGTTAAGCTCTGCAACTTCTATAATTCGGATTATAGTGTATATTTAATTTTTTGACATGGTTGTCTTCTGCTCAATGGCGTGCAACATTGCCATTACTGATAGATAAGAACACCTGTGTTTAAATATACAGTTTATTTGCAATTTTTTTTTTACAAAGATGAATTATAGTTAATTATAAGAGGCAGAAAGATACATGCTAACTGATCAGTGACACCAATCAACTGTGTTTTTCTTCTCCTAAATGCCTTATCCGTTTCAAACGTTGGCAAACATAATTGATATCCTTGACCTGACCACAACTTCCCGAAAGAGCGATGTCGTGTTTTAACCGAACTACTTATTTCTGCAGTTCTGTGTTCTATTATCGATTTAAGCAGACCAATGCTGGTTCAAAGTATTCCAGTTTTTGTCGTCTTATCTTCTCATTCACACTTAAAAGCACAACTAAATGATGTAATGTAATTTATTCTATTCGACTGATTTTGTGCATAAGTCGATAGCCCAACAAAAGATTCAATTCTATTTATCGACGCTACAAACATCGCCCACGCTTCTCTTCCATAATAGTAAGTTTTGAATCCTAGTCCTAAGTGATAATCACACCTTAGGGGAACACAACAATCTTATCAAATTTACTAAAAGTAATTTTGCATTTTTACTATTGTATCTGGAAAGCAAATAATATCAAACACAAAGAAGAACGACTTAAATTGGCATTAAGGAAATGGCTCTTATGTCTTTTCGATGTAGATCTATGAAACGGAAAAATACTATGTCATTTTGATAAAAGGAATAACATTTTAAATAAACCTCAATGCGTTTGAAATATGGGATAGACTTTTGAGGAAAGAAAATATTTAGTAGGTCGACTTGTTTATCGTGATTTTCTAATGCACAAATAAAGAAGAAATCGTTGTTTTCTAATGCACAGCTAAAGAAGAAATCATTTAAAAGAGTTTCTAATCGATCGAAAAGCCTGCCAACTAGATAGTAACCTATTAATTTAGCTATGGAGCAGAGAAATGAGATAACGACTAATCAGTATAGTTGGGCTTTTCATAGTAGCTTTTCGTAGCACTTTTACTCTATCTTTTTAAAGTAAGAGTATTTTATACTTAAAAACATTTTGACTGAGACTTGAATAATACTATGCTTTCGCTTTGTATGCTTAGTGTTGCAGGTACTCATGTGCCACTTCTATTCAGTTCATTAATCTTACAGCTATTAAGGATGTAACTATAAAGGATGTAACTATATATAAATTGTCTCCGCGTTAACCGATATATATCGGATATATATCAACAATATATGGCATTCTAATACTAGCCTGGATGTTGTGAAACATATTAATAAGTACCTGTCTTTCTCTTAAAATACAGTTGCTGTGTTTTATAATACTAATAGACATAGTAATACCCATATAATTATTGCAAAATAAATATTAACAACAACTTTTACCTGAATAATGTTGCAGTGATTCATTAGCTGAAAATATAGTTTAAGGTTAAGCATTTCTGTGAACTTATTTTATAGCTTGAGGCCTAATATATTAAGGAATCTACAATCAAATAGAATAGTTATAGTAATTGAAATATTATTGGAAGCAATAGTTAGACTGTGATCAAGTATTCCTACTATAAATATATATAAGATAAATATTTGCTTTATTTAATATCATATTTTTGCTCTTTACATCGTTAGTGCTTTTGAATTTATTTTTAATATTTTAAATGATTTATATTTCAAATTAAAATATTCATTTTTTTCACATATTTTTAAAAAGGTTTTTAATTAAAAAATATATATTTCTATGCATTAAACTTTATAAAGTTTTATTGATTGGTAGAATATTATTAAAAGTCCAATCCTGTTCAAAATTAGCATATAATAAATCTTACATCCAAAATAGAATATTAATGAATTGAATAGTATACTACTACATTATACTTTATCCCAAATTAAACATAATTTTTTTAATGTTTCTAATTTATTTCTTCAACAAATTTAAAAATACATTTTGAATATTAATTTTTTTTTATAAAGTGTATACTCAAATTTATAAATTCTAAATTATTCTTTGTTTACTAATATTCTTTAGGAGTATTTTCATTTTTTTTATTAAATTAAAAGAATGTTATGAGAATCGGATTTATGGCGGTATTCAAAAGAGCTGGTTGACCAAAGAACTCACTTAATTGAAGGTTTAGATAGCAAAATTTCATTTTCTCACTAATTTCACATTTTCGGTTCGAAGATTGATAAATTCTTGTCATGAGACAAGATAATTGTTAATTATTGCTAAGAGAATAAGTTTATTTTTAAATACCACATTTAAAATATGTTATAACATTGTTAGGAACTTCGAATTTTCGTATTTGTTTTAACGAGTTTCGTTGATTTTTACAAAAAGTGCGAACCGCAACTAACTTAACGCTGAATAATCATAAGATTGACATTTGACAGTAGATAAAAAATAAAAAAAAAATACATCAGTCCTGTGTTATCGTTCCAAATGTAAGCAATAAGTTTAGAAAACAGCAGAAATATACTACTGGAACAAAATTCAAAAGTTAAAATATATGTACTGCAAAAAATTTTTAATTAATGTATCGATGCTAATGCACTGAAGATATTTAAATCAGTTATTATTGTTCAATTGCAAAATCACTTTCATCGAATATCTATCCGAAATTTGCTACAGAAAAAAAACACTAGTCAATGCTATTATAAAATAATCTAAATTACATCAACTAAAATATAAGTGTGTCTACTTAATTATTATAAGTTCATGAAACTACAAGTCATGAAGAAATATCAGGACAGACCCGGTTAAAAGACGATGAATATCATGTAAGGAATACAGCAATCGCATCCGCTTTAAACAGAAGATTTAATATCCATTTTGTCTTTTAGTTATTATTTTTAAATAGATACAATAATAACTCACCATACCTTCGGTGAAAACTACTAATTACTGTGATCCCTGACGCACACACAACAGCATTTACCAATGACCGTAACTTGCATCCAAGCAATGGAGGTACAAGTAAATTCCCATCAGCAAGGCACAAGCGCGGGCAATATTTACGCTGAGAATCACGAAGATAAAACCAAAGAAGACGATGGCATGATAATACTTGCGAGGAATGCACATTTTCGCAATGTGTCGAATTCCGATAATGAAGACGAAGAAGAACATGCTGGAACGAGTGCGACATTTGTTCTGCGAGAGGAGAAAAAATTGTTACCTGCGCAAGAACCACATCATCTCGTGACATGGTTAAGTGATGATGAAATAGATCGTTTGGATTTGGCCACCTTAGACATTGGAAACATGTTCAATCGAGTCGATAGCAAAGAAATAATATATCAACAAAAAAAGAAAAACATTAAAATGGTTGGAAAATATGTTATGGGCGATAAATTGGGTGAGGGTTCGTACGGTAAAGTTAAAGAAGTATTGGATTCAGAAAATCTGTGCCGTCGTGCAGTGAAAATATTAACTAAACACAAACTGCGGCGTATTCCCAATGGACAGCAAAATGTGCAGCGTGAAATACAGTTACTTAAAAATTTACATCATAAAAATGTAGTGGCACTGCTCGACGTACTGTACAATGATAAAAAGGAAAAGATGTATTTGATAATGGAGTATTGTGTAGGAAACTTACAGGTAAAATAATAATTTTTTTTTAAAGTTTTATAATGGTTTAAATTTGCATTCTTATAGGAATTGGTTGATAGTGCACCTGAAAAAAAACTACCTCTGTTTCAAGCGCACCGTTACTTTGTACAACTTATTAACGGTTTGGAATATTTACACGGGTGTCGTGTTATACACAAAGATATAAAACCAGGCAATTTGTTATTAACACTAAATCAGACATTAAAGATTTCCGACTTTGGTGTAGCAGAGCAATTAAATTTGTTTGCTGAAGATGATACTTGCACAACTGGCCAAGGTTCACCAGCATTTCAACCGCCAGAAATCGCTAATGGACTGGAAGCATTTTCTGGTTCAAAAGTAGACATCTGGAGCAGTGGAGTGACACTGTAAAAAGAAAATTAATTTACTAAATATTCTAACTTACTCAGTTGTATTTTAGTTACAACATTTGCACGGGTTTATATCCCTTCGAAGGCGATAATATATATAGGTTACTTGAGAATATTGGTCGAAATCAGTGGATACCACAAGAATGGCTATATGACTATGATCCTCAATTAGCAGTATTAATATTAGGCATGCTTCAGGCAAACGCATCATATCGGTTTACTATACGCCAAATTCGTGCTGATCCGTAAGTATTGTATACATTAATACGGAAATATTAAATATAAAATCTATTTTTTTTTTCTTTCGCAGTTGGTTTATGTCACTACCGGAAGAAAATGTTAAACCCATCCCTATACCGCCTTTAAAGAATGACAAATATCGACGATCTACAGTACTGCCTTATTTAGATGCTTATCATTATGAGACAGAACGAGATTTAGAAGAGGTTTACTTCACTGAACATGATTTAAACCGTAAGTAAATGTGCTTATGTTATTTGAACAAATATTTTTTTTATACCATCTGGATTTAAAACCTGCTTAAGTTACTTAATATCTGTTAAAATATCTCATTTCCAACTGTACCTAAATAATATTTATTTGAAAAATAAAAAGTACGTTTTATTGTACTTCGCACTTGCAAGTGTTCTGTAATGAGAATTTAAAAACACATTTATAATCTGGAAATGCAATTGTAGTTATAAGATATTGAAAATGTGGTCTACTCTGCTTACTTAGTGTCACACGTTTGTCTCATTATTCCTCTTTTCTCAAGTTTCAATACCAACAAAGCTGTTATAATGTATGTGACTACCGTAAAAACATTTTTGTTTAGCATGTGTCGACCATACCGTTTACATCTTTCTTAAAAAGTTTGTTTAAGTTTACTATAATTAGTCAGATATAAGTTGATTGACTCATCAGTAAAATTATTGTAAAATAATTACTGATTTTGACGAATGTAACAAAATATATTTAACGTAGAAAAGGGTTTCGATTAGTATTTTACTATAACAATAACATTTTATTTTAAATTAAATGGATTTTTTGTCAATCCATCAGTGATCTTTGGAAGTATTCGTTGGTGTTATGGATCTGTATAGAATCGTTGTACTTCAATTGCCAACTTTAAACCTGTCAAAAGCAATGAGTTCGCATCTTTTAACTAAACAAGCCAAAGTTGCATGAAACTATCGTTCTTCAAATTTTAAGTTTTTCGTTATTTATAGTGGTCTCTTATAAGATAACCAAAGCACTTTTTATGCTTCATTTACCACTCAGTATAGAGACATAAAGCAAACAAAATAACTGATTAATGTCAACAATTAAAATTTTGACAGGTTTCGTCAGTTTCAATAGAGATACCAACTTGTCGACTATATTAGTGCTTAGAAATGTTGAATATAAATTGTTTGGAAAATTATGACACGTTACCAATAGCTAACTAAAGCAATCAAAATAATTAGTTCATTTCAACAACTAAAATTTTGAGAGCTGCCCTAGTCTAAACAGATCTACACTTAGAACAATCAGTGATTTTGTACAGATATGAAGATAAAATTTAAATACACTTATGCCTGCACATTTTATGATATGTAAAAGAAAGATCGCCCTAATATCTTGAACTATCAAGCATAAGTATTTCTAATAATTTTGTTTTTATTATTGAAACAATTATAACAGGACACAAAAGTTATATATCTAATAATAATATATACATATAATGCAATAAATAAATTATTAATTCCTGTACTTTTATTATTGTTGCATAATCTCTTGTCAAAACTCAGGTTTGAATTTTTCAGCTGATTGCCGTCGCATGAATACATATTGACCTTCTTCATGATAAGTCATAAATGCTTTTTATAAAACAACATAACCAATCACTATTCTGCAATTCGCATTTACGTGTCATATAGAATGACATAGCATAGCATAGCATATATCAATCCCTTTCTACCTATTATGGATACATAATAGTTCTCCTCACACATTGTCATCCTAATTACACCACGATTAGTATAGCCTCCTCTCCTCACAAACTTACTTTATTCGATAGCTTTCTTTGTATCATACATACTTCGAAACTCTATGCGGCACAGTCTTCTTCGAAACCACGCTTGTATTCCAACGAAGCTCACTACATACCTCAGCATTTCATGCCTTGGTATGAAATCTTTAGAGATGAGAGAAACCTTTTTCGTGTAGCAAGCAATATTCTAGTCCAATTATAATTAAGATATTGCCATATGCTAAACAGTGACTTGTCACATATACGAGTATATACGTCAATTCGCAATGACGTTGATCTCTTCTTATTTCTCAATCCACACACTAATTTGAGTCCTAAAGAGTCTTGATTCCACTCCATCAAATTGCCAAGGTTCCTTCAATGTAAGACAGATTAGTTTCAGTTAGCATTTCTCCATCGCGCACAATCTCTTACCCTCTCCAAATATCACCCTAACCAATGTGTTCTTAAAATTTACTTATGCTTCCTGCTGTACAGGTCTATTTGGGTTACAAAACAATGATATGATTTTTTTTTAATAAAAAAAATTATCTATATATCGTCACCTGTAGTTAAGCAGATTTTAATAATACATATTTCTTATTTGAACTAATGCAGTTTTATGCTAACCATTATGCTATTTTGATTTAAGTGCACTATTTTTCAATTAAAATAATTTTAAGTTTTTTTCTTCAATTTACTTTATTTGTGACAGTGTCGTAATTAAATTTAAATTGTTTATTCGTTTAAGAGGAACTTGCACGTCAAGCTGCCGTGGCTGCAGCTGAAATCAAGGCACAGCAAAAACAGCAAATGACAGCCGATGCAGGCTCATTAAGTGGCGCGGTTGGTTGTATTGGCGGTAGTAGCTCCGGAGCCGGAGTATGCAACCTGACCTCAAACAATGTCAAAGAGAAGAAATCATCATCGTTCAAGCGACGAGCAAAGAAGCTAACCTCCTGTATTTCAGTCCGAAAACTTACCAGTTGCCGGCCGTCCTAGAGTGGTGACGGCAGATCAGAAGTGAACATACCTGTTGTGCGATTCGCAGCAAAAATTTGCATTCGATATATTTTAAACAGTTCAATTGTAGTGCTAGTATATATATTTTTTGATCTTTAATATTATAAATCCCCCTCTTATTTTATTATTTATATAAAAGCATTATGACTAGGATTTATTTGCTTTTTAATATGCGTATTTATTGAAACTAGTGAATTTGTTGTATTTCAGTCGCCTTAGCCTTATTTAAAAAATAGTTTTAATTAGAAATTTTGTTGCATTATTTTTAGTTTGTCTTTAGTTTATTTTAGTTTAAATAAATGTAAAATGTATGTTAATCAGTGAAATTTGTTAATATGGATAAAATAATTCACATCAAGCAATGCCAAATGCAATTCTGAAGAATTCTAATGTCCTACCGACAATACAAAAATGTTTTAATGTAAAACATGAAGAAACCTCATTTGTTAAAGTTATAAACAAACAAATACAAAATCACAAAAAATAAACGAAAGCCTTTATATTTACTGATTTTTTCCATATTTGTAAAATTTTAAAATAAATGTTTGTTTTAATGAATAATTCAATAAATTAAGTCTTTTTGCCTTCGTTTTTCTCTCGCTCTGTCAGCATAATATTCTCTAAGCTATTATGAAGCTCTGGCATTATAAACATTTGATAGTAATGTGAACCAAATTTAGTTAATTTTTTTTGCATTAAATTTCGCAGTGGATCCACATATTGAGGTTGTACTTTAAATAAAGCAGGATTACGCCAAGGTGGAGCGGTTCCATCGCATTGAAACAGCGTTGGAGTGGGTACGTAATCTTTTAAATAATTCCATACACATTCTTTAAGTACCAGGGCAATCTATAATAATTATTTGTATTTGGGAATACAATGGATTATTAGAATATACAAAACAAAAAGACATGTAATAAGTAGTACCTCAAGTGGTTCGAAATGTTCAATAATTGTGGATAAATTTGAAAGTGGCGGTGGTAGAAGCTGACCAGTTGCTAAGATTTCCAACAGTTTTTTGGTACAATCCATAAGCTCTTCATTTGGATCCAAACTTTGAAATTTACTGACTATAAGAAAGGATTAATTAAATTAAAACAAAAACTTTTGAAATCATATAATGGTCGAGTACCATTTTTAGCTCTCCATTGATGTAAACAGGTGGCGCATAATGCTCTTAAAAGTACTGATGCGAAACATAGAGCTGGACGACGTAGTGCTAAATATCCTAGTATTGTCCATAATACTGGAGAATTTGAGAATGCACGTTTAATAAATAAATCTCGTTCCATTGTCACTTTTGTGAATTCTTCTTCTGGAAAAGGTAGTCCATTATACATAATATCGGGACAAACTAATTCTAACAGTAGTAATGATATTGAAGAGTAGCACTCATAAACATTACGAATATCCTGAAAAAAATAAATAAAATATTTTTGTACAAATTAAACAATATACCAAATAACCTAAAGTTATTTTTTAAAAAAAAACCATGTCTAATATTACTTGTTCAAATCTAAAGATCTACAAAAACTAAAACAGGTATTCAAACTAGTTATCAATTCAAGTAAGTGTACTATATAGATACTTTATTCCACAAGACGGGACAACACAGTCTCAAACCTAAAGATCAACAACAACTTCTACTTATCATTAATTTCAAAAAGAATGTTATAGTCATTCTTTATTCCACCTGAATCCTACGTGCAGCACTATCTTCGAAATAATAACATGTTTTTTTGAATTTCAGAGGATTGCACCGCCTTAACGTTGTTTTCTCTACACTTTTGCATAGAGTATAGAAAAGTCATTCTGGTTATTAATATCTAACTTCATTTGTTTCATAATAAGCTAAATGTGTAGTCTTTATACAAAAAACTGTATTTCTGTTACAAAAAAGTATCGCTTATTAATAAATGAACTTACGCTGTGATCAAAACAAGAATTAAGTGCTTTCAGAAACAAGACTTCAGTACCAGGGCAGTAGGTCTCATTTGTTTTATTGTTATTTGTACGCAGTCCATGTCCAATGACTCCAGCATGCAATGCAGTACGATTAGATACTGGTCCATGATTGAATCGTGTATTTTGATTGAAAACAAATTCATTTTCTGGAACTTTTAATTCATCAACTATCTTGAGTTCATCTATTTGCCCAAAAAGATAACCGTAATGTAGAAGCGCACCCTCGATTAGTTCTCGTACACAAGCGGTGCGAGCTGCATTACGACCCTTACACAAACGCTGCAACAATTGACAACAACGTTTTATGCCAAATAGACGTTTAGTATCGGCTAAAAATATGTTAAAAGATGAAACAATCAAAATCTTAAGCTATGATAAACAGAAGAACCACTTACGTTTTTCAGTTAAGCAGAAAAAAAAGTATTTTGCCAATAAACTTGACAATTTGAGAACCTACAATTAATATTAAACTTATTAAAATTATATTTATATTATATTATAAATAATTAAATTACTTCAGGAGTTGTCAGCACACTGCTTCCACATACGTCAACAGTGTTTAGCAAATCTACTAGGACATGTGCCTTTTCCTGCCGATTAAAGTTAGCATTTGCTTCATCTGTTTTTTCACTGTCTTCGACTGAATTTCCATCTATTTTCGAATTTGTTTCAAATAATTCACTTGAAGTGAAGTTCAATTTGACATCATCTGAATCATCGGAATCACTCGAGTCAGAATAGGAGTTTATATTTTCTAAATCTTCCTTTGCTTTTTTATTCATGCTGTGTATGAGGCTTTCCGTTATAACTTCCAATAGCTCTAAAAGTTTAGGGAGACATTTTATCAAGGCTGCAGTGAGTTGCGTCTCTTTGGAGGGTGTTACTGTATTCTGCTTATACAACCTATGAGCAGATATGTCAGTTATTATTGCAAATTATAAGCAAATTAACTTACTCTAATAATGTCTTTAGATTCTTTAATACATTTAAAGTCTCTGATATACGCATATCACGACCGTGCCAACCAAAATTTGGAAATTGTTCTTGGGTTGTCACATCTTGTAAAACCATATCTAAGCCTGGCTTTATTTTAGGAAAATTTTGCACGCCATTGTGTCCATTAAGCAAGCGAATAAGTGCAGTCAAGCCACTTTTTTTGATATCATACGATTTACGTAGCAGTTCAGATATTGTTTCGTAGTAATGATTATTATACTGAGTTGCTAAAATCAATAAGAAAATTTTAATTGAAAATAATGTGTATAAAAATTATAATCCCTATCCTTCAACTTACAGGCTATGAGTAGTAGACGTATTGCAGTTTGCTGTTCAATACGATTTGAAGAGGTGCTGCTTATCCATAGCAAATATTTCGACTCTTCTGATGCTAAGTCATTAATTAATGGACATAGCTTTGAATTGAGTACACATTGTTCCAATTCTATCAATGAATATTCCAGAAAAATATAACACCACTGAAACTGTGATGCAATTTTTGCTAATTTGAGTAATAACTGCACTCCATGATTTTTGATGCGCAGTACTACATTATGTAGTGATGGTTGCATATCCATAAATAGCTTATTGTTTCTCCAAAGTAAAGAGTTCTTTGCGATTGTAGCAAGTAATTTATCATCATCTAGAAATGAAAAATTTTTAAATGGGTTTCTACATTAAATTCCATACAGTACTTACATATTTCGTATAAAATGTCCACTAGACTCTGTAATATTATTTCAGACTGATTCGATAGACTTAATAAAAATGGAACTACTGAAGCATTTGCTGGACCTTCAGTGAGTCCTCGAAGTAGCATTTTTTTTAAAGCATTTTTTAAATCATTTTCATGCAGAAACGATAAGTGATCTAAAATGCTTACTTCCACAGTGAATTTCACATTTACCTCGTGTTCAAATAATTTTAAACAGAATTCCAAAATATTTGACATGATTTTGTGGGGAAAACAATTTCCAATTCGTACAAGTAACCAATCTGGTTGAAAACGCCGAAATACAGCTAAAATATATACAATGGATATATAATTTATATTTATAAATACAAAATGAAAAAATTTTACACATAATTTCGACGATAGCTTTTTCCAAATTATTGCTATCCAATTTACAGATGCATCTTGTGGTAAGCAACATCAGACCCTTCATGGTAGTGGAACTTAACCAATAATTGGTTTTTGCACCAATGGTCATCTCGTAATTTTTGTGTTTTTTCGTCAGACTACCGATCAACTCTAAACTCCATTTTAAAACCTCTAGATGCCATTCATCAGTTCCGTTATTTATTAACGTTTCCAATTTTGCTTGTATCGGTATAAAGTACCTTTGATCGAGTAAATCGAAATCTCTGCCATTATTTGTTACCGAACCAGTTCTAACATCTACAATCACATTTTGGACATAGTTTTCTATACATTTGTCAGCCAAGACTCCAAAATATTTTAAAGTCAATGTTCTGCACGTCTGGAATTCAGTTAGGAGAAATAAACTTTCTCTGATTGCATTATCTGAAACAAAGATTTTAGCATCTTCGCCGGCGTCGAGTATATCCAGAAATTTCGAGAATTTCACAAGAATATGAGACATTTTTAAATATTAATTAATATAGAAATAAACATTTATAACAGCGCGGCGCGAGATAATTGATAAACAATATAAATTTACAGTTGTCAGCTGTGTGAGCTATAGCGCCACCAAGCGTATTCGTCGTGTAATTACTTTATTATCAAAACAGATGGCGCTTAAAACAGTAAGTTTCACAAATCAGTAGTTCGTAATTAAATAGAAATTTTTAATATATTATCCAATAAGATTTTGCTAAATTCTTTATTGAAAGAACTTAAAATAAAACTATTAGAAAATTACCAAATAATTGAAAATAAATAAAATAAAAATTTATGTATAGTGAAATAATTGAGAGAACAAACTATAGACACTTATTCTTAAAGATCTCTGTAAATTTACTTAAATAGATGTTTATTTTTGTAACTACCAAAATGACCAGTTATTAATAGAAAAAAATAAATATATCTAAGATGAAATAAATATATCATACAAATAAAATCTATAATTAACAATGATAACAATAATTAATATAAAACACATATATATCAGAAAAAAATAATTTTATTTACTTGTTATTTATTTATATAAAAACTGTATCAAAAGCCAGAACTAGGGAGCTACTATTGCTGAACAGATAAGGCATCGGACTTGTCACAGTGTTTATAGTGGAAAAAGGCAACATCTGTCCAAGGGACATACTGGCATTTTTAACGGATATGCGCCTATGGAACTAAAGTGGGTTTCTCACAATAATCCTCAAAGGATGCAGTGACGTTTTGATATAGTTTTCAACCCATTCTAACTATTAACTAGTCTAACTATTCTATATAAAATCTGTATATAGTAAGGATATCAGTAATAAATAAGAAATAAATGAAAATTAATATATTTTGCATACAAAATCGGTTATTAACAAGGATAAACAATGTTGGAAAAAACACGTGGTGGCTTTTAGGGAAAAATAGGAAAACAGCTGAATTTGCAAATCAGACACCTTTTAGTAGAAAATATTGGAAAAAGGAAGCATTTAAGCCAACTAGTTTTTATTAAAATAATTGGAAAAATTGAGAATTTTTTAAATCCAGGTGAAAACATCGCATGTTCTAACATATGGATATTAATAAACAATTTAATATGAATGATTAATTTAAATGAATAGTATCGAGAATATTATACTTAATACAAGGATTTAACTAATTAAAAATATTTCCCATTCCATACCAATTTTTATATTTCCCCAACCAATCTTATTCTTATTCATTGTTCAATCAATCTTAGTATTTCTGATGTTAGCTATCTATACAGTTTATGACAGCGGCATTACATCAATGTATTGCAAATTAATTAAAAATTCGTATTTAAATTTGAAAGATGATGAATATTGTGTAAACTTCGCTTTAAGACAATAATTGAAAATGTTTTCTGTATATATTGCTGATTCTAACATTTTTAGTAAATCATAATCTTTATTTTTAATTATATTTTGATAATTTTCAAGTAAATAAAAAGCAGATTTTGCTTACAATTATTTTAAATCAAAACAACAACGAACTACAGCCAAAATGCAATTAATCAAAAATGAAGGTTTACAGAAACTGACAGCTGTCAAGTAACAAACTCTACTAAAAAGACTGTAGGGGACGCTTGGTCGACATATTTTTATTTTATTGAATTTGATTAACATTTTAATATTTTATATATTATATAATTTAAATTACGTATATCAAATATGTATATAAATCTGTAAAGTATAACTATTTAGAAATATTAAAGAGCAGTAAAGAAAACAGAAACCATAAAATCGGTATATCTTTTCACAAATATCACATTATTGTGAATGGCTTCTTTACCATAGATTATTGTTAAAACAAATAAAATAGTATTTAAAATAAAGTCATCAGTTTACTTTTATAAACATTTTGCTTTAGTTTTTAATTTTTTGTATCTGTTCATAATTGAATATGATTCGTTTATTTCTTTTCTAAATAACAAACTTTTTATATTATTGTGGTTTAGGTTACTTGCTTTAGTAATTCAAGTAATTCACTATATCCATAATTTTTTCTTACAGAGTTGTAAAAAAACAACATTAATTCTGGTTGAAAGAAATTGGCATCACTATTAATATGTGTTAAATGATAGTTTTTGACATATGTTATTTGTTGTGAAATATAAAAGTTGTACACAAGAAATTAATTAATTTAAATAAAAGAAAATAAAATGAATATTAGAATAGTAATAATAAGCATTTTTATCTTGTATTTATATATAAATTAATTGATTTATTGATATATTTAAATTTCATAAATGATATGCTCATATGATTTTAACTGATGACTGGAATTTCTAATAGACTGATTTTTAAATTTGGTTGCACTGAAACTTAAGACTTAAAATGTTTTGCGAGAAAAACCTAACTCTGAAGATTTTAAAAGCACTGTTCTTGCTTCACATGTTTGCTTTCGTAAGTTGTGAGATTTTTTTTTCTACTCTGAAAGAAAAAATAACGGCTTATGTTTACACTTCTACTTATTGAAACTTTTTAACATATTTTTGTATGGATTTTGTATGGCAGGTATTGCTGAATATTTGTAAACTTAAGTACAATAACTTTACATTCTCTTATCTGGGTGTTTGCACTTATAAACCACTAACTTTACTGTTAACAATTTTCAATACACTGATCAGTTCAGTTATTTGCTATTTATAAAATAATGATTTGAAGTCCAGCATATCTATCACAGTGCTGATAGTGTCTACTTAGTGCTGAATTCGAATATGTATCTATTGTAGAAAATAGTTTGAGAGTTTTATTTTTTATGTACTGCTTGACATTTTTGATCTTTAAGTTTGTATTGATATGACTGTTTCAGAAATTTCTCTGATCAATATTTAAAAGATCTAAAAATTGATAATAATAATTCGCCGTTTTACTGAATACTTCAATCAGAGAAAACTAAACAATAGATATTAAAATGGATTTTTAAAGACTGAATATAAATTAATTATATGTAAACATTTAATTGTCATAAGAGCTATAATATTTTGGGAGTCTTTGACCGAAAGACTTTGTGGTTTTAGTCCCTAACCACTAGCTAATATATGCCAGTGTTCAAAACTATTTCCCTTCTTGTGTAAGCGATACAAAGCAGTAATTTTGCTTTTAGGTAAAAGAATTAATATTTCAAAGATTTATTAAATTTAAATGTGATAGAAAACGCGTATAATTTTTTTAAACTAAAACAGAAAACTTATCCAAATAAAAATATTTGCTAATGTGTTTATAATTAGTTTGTTTAGTACTCTGGGGAAAATCCACTTAAAATTTATTTTTATTATAATTAATATATCAATAATTAAGCTAATTAATGTCAAACAGTTGATAAAATTAAATCATCTCAGTGTTTTAGATACGTTAACTATTAAGGTTGAAAGGGAAATTCAATTTAAATAAAATTTAAATAAGGACGGGAAAACCGAAAAACGTTCTAAAATTTCTTATTTAACTTTAAAATAATAAAAAAGATAAATGCTAAGTAAATGTTATTAGAAGTTATTATTAGTTTTTTCTATTATTTAATTTTTCGTTCACTTATTTCTAATTTATATTAATTATAAAAGTAAAAGAAAACTAAACTTTTTGCACAAATATAACATTATATAACATAGCTATGGCGTAGCCAAGATTGTCATAAGGTTCGGACACATACACACACACATGCTAGAAAATATTTCTCCAAATTTCCTCCCCTCTCTCTAGATATACGCCACTGTAACATACTACTTACTGTTCGTTAAGTACATTACGGTAATAGTTCAGAGTACTTATTTTCAAATCATTTACTTGCTCCAATAAGCATATAACATTTGATGGGCTCTAATATTGAAGACGCCAAAATCGAGTCAATAAATTCCTTTCTCTTGTGTGTTATAAATGAGAAGAACTATATTATACAATCGGAATTGATTAGTTTTAGACAACTCTCTTTATGCAATTAGTGCAAACCATATAATTTCGTTACATCAATTTAAACATTCTATAAAGCTCCATTTTAATAATCTGTTTAAGAACTTTAAACCAATATTCCACCTTTTTTAAGCATATGCTTATCGATTTCCATTTGTTTGTAATTTTTGCTGAGCTTTTAGATATAAATTAATAACAATATGCGTTTATCTGTTGGTAAACCTATAAATATTTATAGATTCGTTTCTTTGGTATTCCAAAATTTGAACGGTGGTAGTTTATAAAAACTTGTCAATTGTTTCATTACTCTTAAATCCCTCATGATCAGTATCCAGATGAGTAGATTGATCACTCACTAATGCAAAATCAAATTTTTATAAATTTTATGAATCATTTTTAATATTTGTTAATGGACAAATGGAATGGATGATCTATTTTAAAAAATATTTTCAAATTCTTTTGAATATTTGGACAAGGGTCCGTGCCATTTTGTTAAATCTGGTATTGATTTAAACTAAAATCAATTTAGACTGAGACAGTGGCGTAACTACATTTTTTAGGCCCATTATCGAATTATAATTAGGGAGCTCCTACTAATATCTTTTTATACCCTTTACACGAAAATGTGTAAAAAAGGTATATTAGGCTTGTGAAGATTTTCGTATCGTCTGTTTGGAGTCTGTTTCAGTATCTGAACAATGTGTCAATTTATTCTGTGTATCACAATTAGCAAAGGCATCATTTAAATCGTTTACTCCTTTAGTTTTGTTTTCATTTATTTTAAGAAAATTGTCTAGTTTTGGTAATTTCTTTAATGTTAATAATGAATGCATAAATTTATAATGGGGCCCTCTAAGTTCGGGGGCCCGAAAGCGTTGCTTCCAGTCGCTTCCCTGTAGTTACGCCACTGGACTGAGAATACTGAAAATCCTACTACAGTCAAACTTCCATAACTCAAAGTACCATTTTGCAAAGAAATGGTTCGACTTATGGAAACTTCGAGTTAGAGAAATTTTTTAATTTTTTTTTTATTTTTAAAAGAAACTCGAATTATATTTTAAGATATTTATTTATTTGAAATCAAATACAACACAGAAGTTATAGTAAAGTAAAATATTCAGACATTAGGGTTTGAGATTTTTATTTATTTTTCCTATTTTCAGTAAAAAAGAGTGCAAT